GCAGTTTGAGACCACCAGTCCCCCCAAGGGAGGATGGCAAGGCTCTCTGCTTCCGGAAGGAGTTGCAGCCTCAGAAACCCACAGGGGCAGTTCCTGCCTGTCCCGTAGTGTCGCTGGGAGTCGGAATGAGTCTCAGGTTTCTGAGACTGTAACTCTTTATGGGAGTACACAGCCTCATCTTTCTCCCACAGAGCTGATGGCGGCCTTGAACTGGTGGCCTTGTGGTTGGCATGGCCACAGCAGGAGAGGGAAGCCCTCAGGCTGTGAACTAAGAGCAGCCCTTTGTGCTTTGCTGTGCGAGGCGTCCTTCTCAGCACCCAGGCTGCCTCTCCTCGTGCGTTAACCACAGCCACCCCAAGTTTATTATGATCACTTTAGTGAATTTTTAAATTGTGGTACAATCATACATCACAAATCAACATTTTTATGTGGCATCGACTGCATTCTTCATGTTGCCCAGTTCTTCTTGTCCACAGGGCTCCACCACTGTCCACATGAACTCTGTGCCCCTGAGGCAGAGACCCCCTCCTCTGGGAGCGCCTATTGCAGGCCATGGGACCCAGCCCCAGGGTAGTGCAGTAGAGGCTCTGCTGACATCTGGGAGGAAACTGGGCTGGTTGGATGGTTCCCTGTTGTGGAGGTGACTTTCATGGAAGCCACTGTCCCCTTCCCCAGGTGGCCCTCTCTTGACCAGTAGCTCTGCCAGGCAGGGCAGCCCTCTTGGGTGACGGGTAGGCTTGGGCTGAGGGCACCAACCTAGGCCCCTTGCCTTGGCAACCCTCCACTCTGAGCCAGGAGCCTGGAGTAACCGCTAACTGCGTAGAAAGCCTGATTGTCCGCGGCAGACGCTGGGGGACTGGCCCTTGGCAGGGCCCTGCCTTATGCCCGTGGTGGGGTGGTGGGGGTGGTGGCGTGGAGTCTGGGGTCTCCTCCTCCACCTCACTCTTCTTCATTCCCATTTCCTCAGCGACAGTGCATCCAGCACCCCCAAGACCCCGGATGGCGGGCACTCTTCTCAGGAAACCAAGTCTGAGACCTCGTCCAACCCCAGCTCCCCGGAAATCTGCCCGAACAAAGAGAAGTAAGAAGAGTGTGGGTGAGGGAAGGGCTGGCCTTCGCTGTTGGGAGCCCGGGAGGAAGCTCCGGGCCTCCAGATAGGCTGAGCACAGACCCCAACCGTCAGGGAGAGAGGGGGCGGCTCCCTGGGGCTGCCCCTGCTCTCCGGCGGGCCTGGGGGTCTGGGTGTGAGCGGCTGGCCTTGCTTCCTGTCCCCTGCAGGCCCTTCATCAAGTTGAAGGAGAACGGCAGAGCCAACATCTCGCGCTCCTCCTCCAGCACCAGCAGCTTCAGCAGCACCGCAGGGGAGGGCGAGGCCATGGAGGAGTGTGACAGCGGGGTAGGTGTGGCCCCAGCCAGCCTGGGGTGCTCATGAACCCACCTGCCTCAGCAGAGCCCTCCTCCGGGCTGGCTCTGTGGGTCCAGGGGCACGTAGGAAAGCAAGAAGTGGCCATCAGTTGGCTCTGCCTTTTGGAGGTGGGGGCTAGTGGTCCAGGAGGAGACCCACTTCTCTTGCCCCCTCCTCCCTCCCCCAGATGAGTAGCTGCCGTTACAGCAAAACAAAGACAAAGACGTGCTGAATGGGGGCTCTCGGCTGCAGGGACCCAAGGGAGGGATTTGGTGTCAGGGTTGAAACCCGGGTTAGGTGCCGCTGAATCTGTTCTGACGGGGGTCTGTATGACAGAAGGCAACCCTGCCCCATGGTTTCTGACAACTGTCTGCTACAGCCCATCATGAAGGCTGCTCCTTCCGAAGGGGGCCGCCTCTCCGGTCTCTGTAGTCCAGTCTTGGTCTGGAAGCCCCGCTGAAACCTCTTCCCCGTGGGTGACCCTGCTGGCATTGGCAATACCGGTGGCATAGCTCCCAGCACCCTAGCCGCACACACTGACAGACAGCGTGGTGGAAGGTACAGCAAGGAAGGGAAAGGGCAGGTCAGAGTGGGGAGTGGGAGAGAGGGCTGCCCTGGGTCTGACGGTTCTGTCTCAGACCAGCCTGGGTCTGGGCCACCCTGGGGAGCTTGGAAGGGCCCCTAGGTGACACACACGACTTATGCTGGACTAGGAGCCCTGGTGGTGTAGTGGTTACTGGTTTGCCTGTGGTCTGAAAGGTCAGTTGTTTGAAACCACCAGCCGCTCTTGAAGGAGAAAGATGGAGCTTTCTATGACCTGAAAAGAGTTATAATCTCGGCAACCCACAGGGCCAGTTCTACCCTGTCCTACAGGGTCATTCGGAGCCAGCATCCACTCCATGGCAGGGAGGTTTTGTTTTTTTGGGGTTTCAAGAGTAACCTAGAGCTTGGCGGCTTATACCCACCCAGCCATGTCCTGAAGAATGGCCAGGCGGTCTGCTTCCATAGAGATGGGAGCCCAGGAACCCCCCTGGAGCCATTCTCCTCTGGAACACGCAGGGTGGCCATGAGTCGGCATGGACTCAACAGAAGCAGGCTGGGGTCTGGGGGTGGGGGACTGCCCCAGCTCACCCGGCCTCTTCCCGCAGAGCAGCCAGCTGTCCACAACGTCGCCCTTCAAGCAGGAGGTGTTTGTCTACAGCCCGTCCCCGAGCAGCGAGAGCCCCACAGCCGGCCTGGGCGTGGCAGCCACCCCCATCATCATGAGCCGGAGTCCCACGGGTCAGTGGCGTCGGGTGGCGTTCAGGGCGTGGCCGGGCATGCGGGGTGGGCATAGAGCGCAGTGTCCTGACTTCTGTTCCTGGGGACACGCGTGGGGCCTGTGGAAGCGGTCCTTTCTTCTCCTCCTGTGCGGCTCTGGGCTCTCAGTCCTGCTGGGCTCACCTGCCCTGGTCATTCGGGTAAGAGGCCTGCGCTCTGTCCTCCCTCCGTGAGTGCGGAAACAGAGGCGCGGAGGGGAGAAATGACCTCCGGGTGGAGGAGCCCGGATTGTGTGGGTTGAAAGTGGTGAGGGTGTCTTTCCACTGGACTCCCCCACCCTGCCTGTCCCCTCCGCCCGCGTACCCCTCCCCCCTGCCCTTATGCCTGGCCCCTTTGTCTGAGCAGCTATTGGACCGCATAGCTAAGAGGTGGAGAGAGTGTCGCAGGCATGGGGGAACCAGGGAGCGAGTTCGAGGCAGGGAGGGGTGAGGGATGAGGGCAGGGGACTGGGCGCTGCCGGGGAAGACTGGCGAGAATTGGATGTCATCTGCTAGCTCCCGAACCTTCCCGAAGCCAGGTCTCCCAAGGGTCTTACGTGAGGGCTGCCAGGTGGCAGTGAAAGATCTTTTGCAGAAAGGATGGGCTCCAGGCAGGAGAGGAGGGGGCTGGTGCTGGGGAGAGGGGGCGGGTGGGACGTTGGCATGGGGCAGGGCAGGTGATGGGGTTTAGGACTGCAGCTGGGGCTTGGACAGTGGGGAGAAGCAAGTGGACTCAGCGCTGTCAAAGGGGTAAACTTGACCCGGTTCAGTTGTGACTTCTGGGCTTCTGACCCTGCGAGCCCCGCATTGCAGCAGAGGAAGAGGGGTGGGCGGGGAGAGGAGGGGAGTCAGTCAGAGGGGTAATCCAGGTGGACCGGGCAAGGGCAAGGGCAAGGGCCTGCGATGCCCTTAAACAGAAGCCCCACTCCAGGGATGGTCCCCACTCCAGGGATGGCAGCCCAGCTGGGGGTGAACCTGACTGGCTGGCCCAGATTCTGGTGTCCCCGCACCACCACTGGGGCATGTTACTTCTCACCGAGCCTCAGTTTCCTAAGCAAGATTGGGGGAGAGGATGGGGCATGATAGTTTCTATCCCACTGCTTTGGTGTCGTGAAGATTAAATAAATGTAACCCTTGCCAGAAACGGAAAAACAATTACATCGGGGTTTGCAAAAAGCACAGGAATAATGGCGGGGGTGGGGTGGGGGTGGGGAGGTAGTCTAAACCAATAAGGGACAATTTTGCTTCCGAGGGATATTTGGCAATGTCTGGAGACATCTTGATTTTCATGATGGCCGCGGGGTTGGGGGTAGAAGCCAGGGATGCTGCTGAACAGCCCCCGGCTAAAAGGGCAGCTCCACCTCAGAGGAGCCAATGGGCTGCGGTGACAAGTCCTGGACCCAGTGGTAGAAGCACAGAAAGGGCCAGGGGGCTTTCGCAGTGTGCTGGCGATGCGCAGATGCAGTGTCGGGGGCCACGGGCAGGCGCTAACCAAGAAGCAAAGCCCTTCCGCTCAGTGGTGCCACAGAGCCTCCCTTGTCCTCTCGCGCAGCCTCCTGTGGCTGCAGCATTGAAGCGACAAGCTCCCCTCCCGGAGCCTCAGCTTCTTCATCCATAAAATGGATCATCCCTCAAGGTCTCTGATTTTTATTATGGAAAAAATGCGGATTAAATAAATATTGAAAGAATGAACGTATCTGTTAAACATAAAAAATCCAGAAGGTTTTGAGTAAAAGGAGCTTGCTAGATTGGCTGTCATTTGCTGGAGACCCCAGGGGACAGAATAGGGCCTGGGAAGGGTCTGGTGACTGCTGTCGGAGTGCCCATCACACCTTCACGGAGGTTGTGCTGGAGCCCGCTGGGTGGGACCAGGGAAGGACCTGAGGAGACCCGCCTTAGGCTGAGGGCAGGGAGGTGGCCTCAGAGTGCCTGCCCTTCCTGACTTCCATCATCTTAATATTTTTTGAATAGTCTTATTAGCATATGCTTCACATCGCATGCAACTTAATAGTTTAATCACATTAAGAAGAGTTTCACAACCATCACCACACCAGAATCCATTTCAGCACATATCCCTCTTGAACGTACTCCTTGTTGTTAGCTCCCCATCTTCCCCAACCTCCCCTGCCAGGTCCCCTAGCAACCATGAGTCCAGTTAGGGTCACTATAGGGTTAGCTACCCCGGGTTTCATATCCAGAAACTCATGCAAAACACAACCAGGAAGCGAACCGCAGCAGCGACCCCATAAAACCAAACCCAACAACCACGCCAAACCAACACACAGAACCAACCACCTCAATCGCAAAGGAAGCAGAAAATATTTAAAAAGTGAAACAATTTAAAAATGGGTCAAAAGGGAGCTCAAATGATAAGCTATTACATCGTGATCCAGCTACATCTACCTTACTCCCATCGTCTTAGATGCGCCAACCCTGCTTCCTTTTACGCCCGGGCCCAGAGTGGGGATTGGCAGGCCCCAGGGGCAGGTCGTCCCCAGGTTGGGTGGAACCTGGTCATTTGAAACACCACGAACAAGCCCGCAGTCTTCAGGGGAACCAAGCTGAACCGTGTGTCCCTTGGCCAGAGGTGAACCGGGTGAAGGTTTAACCATTGACTCTGTCTCTCTCACACACACAACACACTCAGCCAGTCTGTGTTTGCTTGCCCTAACTCTTGCTTTTACAAAGGGTCTGAAGGATATAATTTACACATAGTAATAAAGTCCGCATTGTTCTTTACTGGAGCCCTGGTGGCGTCATGGATAACAAGTTGGGCTACTAACTGCAAGGCCAGCAGTTCAAAGCCACTCTCTAGTCTGTTGGAGAAAGATGAGGCTTTCTGTTCCCATCAACAGTTATACTCTCGGAAACCCAGAGGGCAGTTCTACTCTGTCCTTTAGGGTTGCTATGAGTTGGAATTGACTCTGTTGGCAGTGAGTCGTATAGTATATTATTTTTTACTGAAAGTTCCACACAATTCATTGGTTCTCACAAAAGGCCTGTGATTGAATCTTGCCTTACATTTGCACCCGTGGCCAGTCTGAGGTTGCAAATGGCCAGCAACGTGTAGCTCCCGTAGAGGGTTGGTGGGTAATCTTGGGTATGTTGCGAGTAAGGTGGAAGTGAAACGGAGTGAGGAGAACTTACCTGCCCTGGAGCTCAGGTCCTGAGCCAGGTAGTACAGTGAAACCGCAGGCCTGCCTGATACCACCATCTGAGTCGTCTGCCTTTGACCAAATGCCGCCTTGGCCCTTTCCCGTCACTTTCCATTGGTGGGAAGT